TTAGCAAGAAAAGTAGAGAAGATAGGCCAGGAAAAATAATCCTAAGCCTTCTCATGAGAATGCTGCGTCTGTTACAGCAGCTCTATCTTGAAGGTCCACCACAGGAGCCAGAGGAAGCATAGCAAAGTAAAGACATAATCCACATTACTGTCCCAGTAGAAAGCCATAGTGAAATTTACTTTTCTGAAGCATATTGTAAGCATTAGATGTATGAACCACATTGAATGTAAGGAAAAAAAATTCAAGACTTCAAAGACCAATAAGCACAAAAACTGATCAGAACCCTCATCACTGCCCCTAATAAAACAACCATCTTCAAAAAGCATGGGTAACACAGCCCTCCATAAACAAGCCAATTGCAAAACCAGCAACCACAAACCAGCATCCATATGTAGGCATAATAACAACCCCATCCAGGAAATGGGCAGGAATGCAAACATGTAAACAAAGCAACATTTTTTTTAATGTAACGAAGGATGGTATTTAAAAATAAAATTACACCTCATTACATGAAATAAAATAATTAGAATAATAGAAGTAATGCATGCATAATACAAGCATGAACTGAGAGTTAGGCAGCTGAGGGAACGAGCTGAAAAGTATTTCTAGGCTGCAAGCATGAGCTTCGAGCATTCTAGCTAAGAACTGACTGATTAAAGGATTGATAAGGCTGCTAATAAGGCAGATCTGATATGGGAAGACATTTAGTTTGATAAGGTAACTAAAACGGCACTCCTGATACGTGACTGAGAGGGCAACTGATAAGGAAATATGGATAGTCTCAGGAGATCTCTGAAAAAAACAAAATGCTCCCAAGAGAATCCTGTACAAAGAGAGAACTTTGTGAGAATCCTTTGAGCGCAAATCCAAAATGAACCCGAGAAAGTCTGCATATAACTTTGATGGAAGAAGAAGTCCCCCTCCTTCGAGAAATGCAAAAGATGAATATCCAGCAAAGCTTCCAAGAAGTCTGACCAAATAATAAGACCAATCTTAAGAAATGCATGAGGCAATGGAGAACACGAATATCCAACAAGACTGTAAAAACAGAGGTATTGAATCCCCAATCTTGTGTTTGAATGTCTGATATCCTGAGCATTGAAACTGAGCATGTTTTTGAGTATATGAGCATGAACTAAGCCTGGAAGCTGTGCATGTTGTTGAATATATGAGGCCTTGAATGTGTTGTTGCTTCCACCAAGAGATATATCTAGTAGCCTTGACATATATAATATTTATAGTCCATTATGTTGACTTTATAAAACGCTTCCTTAAATTGCGTATATTTCTGGAGTCATGTTGCATCAGCATTGGTATATCTTTAGTGGAATCATAGATAAACGACCCCTATCAATGACCCCTTTATTTGCCAATGAATCAACAACCATATTCCCCTCAGGATAAGTATGTAGAATGTCTAATGTAAGGCCCTGTAAAATAGAATGAATTTGGTCAAAGTGAAATTCTTGGTTTCATTATGTTATATATGGATTTGTAGTTTATAAAGATGATAAGAGGGTTAGAGATTGTATAATCACCATTGACATAGAATCATGGGTTTGGGTATGTTCTAACCTTAGACTACTCCTTCTTGTTAACAAAAGAATTTCAAGTACAAGTCGAATTTAGCAGTATTTGAAACTGGGAATCAGTTTCAATAAAAATGTGATTTAATCTTCATAGAAGGCTCCCTGACTAAAGGGATCTTAAGATATGGAAGAAGATCCAGACCAGTAGGAGTATCCACAAATTCTTCAAATCATAATGTAATAAAATTTAATTCTTCAACTTAGCATTCAATCACATCCAATTAATATTCAATTCATAAAATTAACATGAAATTAACATTCAATTCATCGAAATTATATTCAAATTCATTAAATTAACACTCAATTTATCAAATTACATCGAAAATCATTAATAAAGGTTTAATTTAACAAATCAACATCAAACTAACATACAATTTCATTCAATAAACATTTAATTCATCAAAACAATACCAAATTAATATTCAATTCAACAAATTAACATTCAATTTCATCTAATAACATTTAATATTCAATTCATCAAATTTATACCAAATAAACATTTAATTCATCATATTAACATCAAATTAAAATTCAGTTCACCCATTTAATATTTAATTCATTAAATAAACATTTAATTCATCAAATTAACAGCAAATTAATATTCAATTCAACAAATTAACAATTTCATCAAATTTAAATCAAATAAACATTCAATTTCATCAAATAAATTTTTTTGGGGTTGTAACTTTTTTGAATTGAGTTATAACTTTTTAGGATGAACTCTAATGGTTGGGGAAGGGTTCCAACTTTTATGGTGAGATTTTAACTATTTTTGATAGGGTTATAATTTTTGGGATAGAGTTTTAACTTTTCAACTTTTTTGAATTGAATTATAACCTTGTAGGTGGTTTCGAGGGAGGGGTTCCAACTTTTTGAGTAAGGGTTCCAACTTTTTTGTGGTGATTCTAACTTTTTTGGGTAGAGCTTTCAAGTTTTTTGGGTACGGATTCCAATTTTTTTTGATAGAGGTTACAACTCTTGAGGGAAGGTTATAATTTTTTTTTGAGGTTTCAAGTCTTGGTAGCGGTTTCAACTTTTTGGCGTTTCAATTTTTTGAATTGAATTATAACTTTTTAGGTGGGTTATAACTGTTGGGGAAGGGATTCCAAATTTTTCCATAGGGTTTCAATTTTTTTGGTAGGATTCCAACTCTTGGGTGTGTTCTAACTTTTTTAGTTAGGGTTTCAACTTTTTTGGCTAGGTTCCAACTTTTTTGCAGGTTCCAATTATTGGCGTAGAGGTTTCAACTTTTTGGCAGAGTTTCAATTTTTTTGAATTGAATTATAACCTTTTGTGGGTTTTAACTGTTGGAGGAGGGTTCTAACGTTTTCTGTAGGGTTCGAACTTTTTTGCTAGGTTCCAACATTTTTTGGGGTAAGTTCCAAAAAAATAAGTAAGGGTTCCAACTTTTTTTGTAGAAGTTTCAATTCATTAAAATTAAAATCACATTAAAATCAACTGTTTAACATTCAATTCATCAAATTAATACTAAATTAACATTCAATTTTTCGAATCAACGCTAAACTAACATTCAACTCATCAAATTAACCCAAAATTAATATTCATTCATTTAATTCGCATTCAATCCTATCTAATAAACATTTAATTCATCAAATTAACGTTACATTCAATTCCATCCAATAAAATTTTAATTTTTCAAATTAAGACTAAAGTAACATTCAATTTATCCAATATATATTCAAATTCATCTATTTTACACTCAATTCATCAAATTAACACGAAAAATCATCTAATAAAAATTAAATTTATCAAACCAACACCAATATAATATAAAAATTCATTCAATAAATATTTAATTTATTAAATCAACACCAAATTAACATTTCGTATAATAAAAATTCAATTCAATAAATTAACATTTAATTAACTATTTAAAATTAAATTCATCATATTAAGATTCAATTTCATCCAATTAATATTTGATTCATCAAATTAATACTAAATCAACTTTCAATTCATCAAATTCACATTCAATTCCATCAAATTAACATTCAATTCATCAAATTTATATTCAAAATCATCCAATTAACATTCAATTCATCTAATTAACATCCAAAATCATCTAATAAAATTCAATTTATCAAACCAAGACCAATGTAATATAAAAATGTATTGAATAAACATTTAATTCACTAAATCAACACCAAATTAACATTTCCTATAATAAACATTCAATTCATTAAAATCAAAACCAAATTAACATTCAATTCATCAAATCAAAACCAAATTAACATTCAATTCACCAAACTAACACCAAATTAATATAAATTGTATGAATTGAATATATATATTTGGTATTGATTTCATCAATTGGTGTTAATTTGACAAATAAATAGGTATGGGATGAATTTAATGTTAATAGTTGAATGTAAATGTTAATTTTATTAATTGAATGTTTATTAGATGAAATGTAATGTTAATTTTATTTGATTAATTTTCGTATTACTTTGGTTGATTTGATAAATTTAATTTTTATTAAATTATTTTGGATATTAATTTTGATAAATTTAGTGTTAATTAGATGAATTGAATGTCAATTTAGTGTTAATTTGGTGAATTGAATATTTATTTGGATGAATTAAATGTTAATTTGATATTAATTTGATGAAACTGAATGTTGATTTAATCAATTGATTGTTAGTTTATAGTATTTTGGGTTGGGATAGGAAAAAATGAAAATATTGATACAGTTTAGGAGTGTAAGTGTAATTTAAATTAAGACCGGTCTTGGGAATGGTGGATCGATCCTGCTATCATATTACACTTTATCCCTTTCATATTTACATTTTTGGCCTACTCAAGAAGAAGTCGATCGTCCATTCCATACATAGGAGGAGCTGCGTGTCTCAAGCAGATTAGGAAGGAAGGGACCTGTGTCTCAACTAGTCCATTCCACCGTTCACACCTGAAGCCAAATCGACTCAAGCATTGTACCTAACCCTTGATCGATTTCAAGCAGTTCGATTTCAAGAAGACCAAGTGAGCGAACCCTAACTCCAAAAAGCCTCCAAAACGCCTTTGATTTCAAGCATTCGAAATCCCTTTGTTTCAAGAAGAACAAGGGATCGATTTAAAGAAGAACAAGTGATCGATTTCAAACATTAGAAATTCATTTGATTTCAAGAAGAACAAGTTTCAAGAAGAACAAGTCATCTAATCGATCTTTACGAAACCCTAACTCCAAAACGCTTCAAATCTCACTGCAAGTAAGTATTCTATAACATATGAATGTGTGTGGTCAGCGAATGTATGCGACGAGTCTTGTGTGTACGTGTGTGAGGATGTCAACTGTTCCATATTAATTTTCTATAGATTAATTATGTTTGATTGGGTATGTACCTGTTTTCTGGTAATGTAACAGAACAACATTTGAGCTCAACAAAAATTTTGATGGAAACAAAGAAGAAGAGGAAGGTTGAGGGAAAGTATCGGCCAAAAGTGGATACAAGTGGAATTGGGCAAATGAAGAGTAAACAGGTTGGTGATCACTCCAATTGTCCAAAACCTCCAATTGTAAGTTCATCCATTCTGGTAAATACTTTCTTCAACAAAATTTTCTTCAACAGAATTAGTGAAGAGGTTTATCGTAATAGGTTTTGTAATAGGCTTGTGTTACTAGAGCGTGGTGCCCAGCTAGATAAGATGACAATTGTGGATTGTGCTCTTATTTTTGGTTTGCGACAATGGAATTCTATAGTTGAAATAAATAAGAACGATAAAACTTATGATGGATTAGTAAGATTATTTTATGCAAATATGCATGATGTTGAGAAGGAAGATTTGAAGTTTAAATCTTATATGAGGAATGTACATTTTGAAGTGAATCCGAATTTGATTTCAAGGATATTGAAGGCTCCCTCACCCTTTATTGTTGAAAATACTGTGACATACCCATACAAGAATGTTGCAATAGAACTTTATGGTAGACCTTTTAAGCTGAACATAGACACATTTTATCAAAGATATCTCACTAACAATTATAGGATTTTAAACCGTATAGTGGGATGTAATATTAATCCGAGAGGACACAGTGCTAATTTTGGAGTTGATAAAGCTCATCTACTCTATGGCATTGGGAAGGGGATAATTATAAATCTCCCTTGTCTATTATTTAATGAAATTGTTTCGGTGTTTGATGTTGAAGGTAAGCGAAAAAGTCTACCATTCCCCATCTTAATTTCAAAGATCATGATGCATTATAGAGTTGTCATTCACCCATCTAACACTTATAAGTCCCCTTTGAGTCCATTTGGTGAATGCACATTAAAAAATAGTTTGGGGCAAACCGATGCATATGATCCAGATGATTATGATACCGGGGCCAGTACTTTAGGGGATATTGGACAAATGCTTAAACAGATTTTGGCAAACCAAGAGGAGTTGCAACAAGAAATGAAGGAGTCTCTCAAGCAGCTCCGTGACGACACCAATGAGTCTCTCAGGCAGCTCAGAGAAGACACCAAAGAGTCTCTCAAACAGTTGGAGAATAAATTGTTACCTCAAAAAGTACTCTTTTTTAGTGGTTGGATTGTAGATAACATTTTAGTTGTTCAATTGTAAATTTTACTATGTAATTTTGTTGATGGTATGTAAATTGAAAGTGAATGTTATGGTATTTTGTTGATGATATGTAAATGTAAACTGGATGTCATGGTGTTTTGTTGATGCTATGTAATTTCAAAGTGGATGTCCTGATGTTTGACGATGCTATGTTTGTAATATAATCCTAGGAATACACAATACAGTTGGTTTCTTGATGCATGTTGAAATGCTAGGAATGCACAATACAGTTGGTTTCTTTATGCATGTTGATGCACACAACATGTTGAGTAGGAAACATACTTTTGCCATTCAAAAAGGAGTTCAATGATCTTCATCTTCATATGTTGGCAAGGGTTGTTGTGATCCACCAGGATGTGAGAATGGCATATTGAGCACCGGTTCTTGTGATGTATGAGGAAAATAATGGAGATTGTGTGGTTGCTCCGATTCATCATCCAAATGTGAAAATGACATGTTCTCATATGGATCATTCAAATGGGGAGTAAGTAGTAGACATTTTCTAACAGTATGTCCGATACCCCTACATTTACTGGTGGGGTAATTGAAATGTTCTTTCTCACCCGTCTTGGATTTCCCTTAGTCTTCACAAATTTTGGGTCACCCACGCCAAATTTTCCATTTTTCACATTCATGTTGAAATGGGATATTTGAAACTCATCATAACCTCTAGTTGCTGACTCGTGATGGGCTTGTAGAGCAGACGTTTGCTGATGCACCATATTTCTCACGTCGTTTGTTTTTGACATTGACTGTGAAACATAGTAGCACATTCTATTGCACATAGACATGAGTTCAACATATCTTTTAGAAATTGATGGGAAACTCAATGTATGCAACACATCATTTGTTTGATAATCGAATTTTACAGTAATTGTCCACCTTTTCATCACAATGCTTGGAGGAAACTCTTTGAGGTGTTCACACTTCATGATGACAATCGTATAAGAGCAGGGAATCCCAATAGATTCAAATTTTATGTAATTACATTTAAACGTATGAATGCCAGGATAATATTGAACAATCCACCTAGATTCAGGTTGTGTGAGCCGGGACAAGTAGTAACTCCAATGTGTTATGCTCTCAATTTTATCCACTACAAAAAATAGAGCTTCATCCTTCAATTGATCACGAACTTTGAAGAATATTTTTCTGGTATATATCTTGGAAGCTTTCTCCTCTAAGCATTTAAGTGCTGTTATGAGCACTGGCTCGGAGTGTTTTGACTCATAGTCCTCATTGGCCTCGACCTCTCTAATTCTTGCCAAGCCCCTATCATACTGCCTAACAAACTCAAACAGTCTTTGACGTATTTTTAGGAAGCAATTTGGGTATGCATTCAAACTTTTGGACCATTGTGTACTTGTTTGTCCCGCAAAAAATATCCCCCATAAGTATGCTTTGGCCCATTTGAATCTCTTTACATAAACTTCAGCAATCTAATTATTAGTCTCCAGACCAAATGATTCAACCATTGATTTCCATAAATCATCAAATTCTTCAGGTGTACATCGAGTGCACATACATCTCTTGAATGCTTGGACAAAATTTTTGGAATTTATATTTGTGAAAGTATTTCGGGCCAAATACCACCTACATAAGCGGTGTGTTGCTTGTGGAAATATTATTTCTATTGCAGCAGCCATTGCTTTATCCCCATCTGTAATAACAGAGATCGGCATCTTATTATCCATTGCATGAAGAAAAGTAGATAGCACCCACACATATGTTTCCACAGTCTCATCTAAAAGCAATGCACAACCAAATATACTTGTAGCATTGTGGTGATTGACACCTGCAAATATCACAAATGGCTTCTTATAAACATTTGTTCAATATGTAGTATCAAACGTTAGTACGTCACCAAAACACTTGTAGTCTATTCGGGAAGTCGAATCCGCCCAAAACAAACAATGTAGCGAATTGTCTTCAGTGACGTTATACTTGAAATAGAATAGCGTGTCTAACTCTTCCTTAGCACTCAAGTATGCCAATGCACTCTTAGCATCACCATCCCTCATTTCTTCTCGACGTTGGGATGCTACATCATTGTACAAATCCTTTGTGGTAAATCCAATATTTTGATATCCTCCTGATTGTTGCAACATGAAATCTCTAATCTGACTTGTTCGTATACCAACATTACGCAATGATGTAGCCTGTGCTTTGTCAGGACTCTTAACACCCTTATGTGATAAGAGAAATGACACGCCACGTGGTGGAACCAATGGATGGTTATGCTCCTTAACACAATTCTTTACAACCCATTTTCCTATCTTCCTATCATACTTCACATGCAAAGTTGCAAGACATCCAACCCTTGTTAAACCCCGTGGTTCCCTTACTCGTTCGTCGTGGTCCGCATTCTTTGTGGACCGATACCCTTCTCTTGAACAAACCCACCTTCTTGAAATTTTCATGTGGTTCTTGTCATACTTTAGGTCATCTTTTTGAATGCTAAACCCCGCATATCTTCCATATGTATTATAAAATTCTCCAGCCTCCTCGTGTGAATCAAACGTCATTTCAAAAACTTCTTCAGATTTTAACTCATCCATCATTTTTTGCTGCATGTTCTCATTTTCATAATTTTCAACATTATGTAACATGTCCTCCGTTACATCTTCATTTAGGTCTATAATAGGGTGCTTTCCTTTTTGTAAATAAGTTGAGGACATTTGTGTTGATTATACCTACAGAAAAATAATTAACAACAGATGCATGTTATATATCAAATGTTTGACGAATTGTAGAAATTTTGTACATAATGCAAAAAAAAAAAAAAAAAAACTAGTGTTATGACAATATTAGTTTATGTACTGCTCTCCTTTCCCATATTGCTGATCAAAATTAGAAAACATTCATAAAGAAAATTATGCAGTTAACATCAAACACATAATAGTTACCTCGTCCACGTAATTGGATGGATGATGATGGAATGGGGGTTCTAAACGTTCCAATTAAATTGTATGGAGGGAATAAAGAGTGAAATTGTTCAGATGATGAAGGAATAAAGAGTGACATTGTAGGAGATGAAGAATGTTCAGGCAACATAACCAATTAGGTGGGAGACATTAATATCATTTATTTCATAATTACCAACTATATTTTGGCTGGCAAATTTAATTGGCTTGCATTTATTATGTGATGTGATTTTGGAAAGAAATGGGATAGATTGTGGTTGTTGCGTGCATTACCACCTTTTAGGGATGGTTTAATACTTTTTTGGTTTGTGTTACAATATTTTGGGTTGGAGTTTCAATTTTTTGGGTTGACTTTATTAAACTTTGGTAGATCCACTTTGAATCCACCCAAAAAGTTATAACCCTATCTAACAAAGTTGAAACGTCACCAAAATAATTTACCCCAAAATATTATAACACTAATTCATAAATGTTGGAAGCCACTTCAAAAAGGAACTATTTTTGGGAGGGTTCCAAGTGCTGAGGATGGTGTTCCAAAAGGTTACTACTTTTGTATGGATTTGGTTATAATATTTGGGTTAGATACAACTTTTATGGATTTGGTTACAATTTTTGTAGGTGAGGTTTCAACTTGTTGGGTTGCTTTAACCTTTACTAATAGTGTCATATGCTAATTTTTTTTCAATAAATTCAACTATGTTTTAGGCTGAAACATATCTCCCCCATTTTTTGTTAATAAAAATTCCCTTCCTTCTCTCCCTCTCCTCCTTCGATCTGTCTCCCTCTACCCATCTCTGTGTCTTCCTTTGATCTATCTCCCTCAACCCTTTCTTCTAAGAATTCATTACAAGGTATGGACGTCTGTCGCTATATGTGTGTGTATGTATCACCTATCTCCTCTCTCTATCGGCTCCCATTGAAACCCTAACGAAAATCCATCTCTCTGTCTCGGCTCCCATTGAAACCCCAACGAAAACTCATCTCTCTGTCTCAGATCCCATTGAAACCCCACCGAAAACCCATCTCTCTCTTTCCAAAATATGTGTGTTATATTTTCTATTTTGAAGTCTCTTTGAATTTTTGGTCAGTGATTTGGGTTGTTTTTCGTAACCCATTTATATTTTTTTTCCCGTTTATAATAAATAACACATTTTATTTGCTGAACTTAAACTAATGAGGCTTTAGTTGTTTTTGTATGGATGGATGGATTTGGGACATCGTCTACAACATCTACCACGAAAACTCGACTTAAATCAACGAGCAAGTTGAAGACTTGGTCGCTTCACCCCTCATTATCTGCCCGTTAATTCCTTCAAGTGCGACACAACACACAACAGGTAAATATAAATCCCCCTCTCTCTATTTAGATATTACTTGAAGACCCAAAAATCTTTAATTTTATATGTCATAACTTATAAATACTTTTCATGGGTTACAAGTTGTCTGGATGTTTGGTTACAAGTTTTATGAGTGGTTGGTTATTTTCGGAGTGGTGGGTTACAACTTTTAGGAGTTGTGGGTTACAACTTTTTGATGGAGTTCGATATGGTTTAGATTGTGTTACAAGCTTTGTGGATTAGGTTCCAACCTGTGTGGATTAGGTTACAACCATTATGCCTGCTTATGTTTGATTAAGATCAGATTTCTTATGGTTGCTTATGGTATGATTTTATTGTTTATGACTTCTTACTTATTAGATATATCGATAAGTTAATATGTAAATGATTTCATTATGTTTCTTTTATGTGTATTGTTTACTAACCATGAGAAAGGGAAATTTGGCAGGCTATTTGTTTATCGAATACAATTACAATAATGTAAGTACTTGTTGTTGATATTTTTGGGATACTCAGATTCTTTTGTATTAGGTTAACAACATATTGCATTGAACAGGACAAAGAAGAGGCAAATTGAAGCTGGACATCAAGTGGAGCATCACACGTGCAAAAGGATTTCATTGCCAAGGAGTGCAACCTCTAGTACTTCAGTTAAAAAAGTTAATAGCAAACTCACATTTCTTTTAAGCATTACATTCAACAATTTCAGTATTTAATTGTCATACTGTTGCACACTTTT